CAATGGAATCTCTGGAAGACAGGAAAGGCTGGTTACAACCAGAAATAAACCACACAATGGAATCTCTGGAAGACAGGAAAGGCTGGTTACAACCAGAAATAAACCACACAATGGAATCTCTGGAAGACAGGAAAGGCTGGTTACAACCAGAAATAAACCACACAATGGAATCTCTGGAAGACAGGAAAGGCTGGTCACAACCAGAAATAAACCACACAATGGAATCTCTGGAAGACAGGAAAGGCTGGTTACAACCAGAAATAAACCACACAATGGAATCTCTGGAAGACAGGAAAGGCTGGTTACAACCAGAAATAAACCACACAATGGAATCTCTGGAAGACAGGAAAGGCTGGTTACAACCAGAAATAAACCACACAATGGAATCTCTGGAAGACAGGAAAGGCTGGTTACAACCAGAAATAAAACACACAATGGATCCTCTGGAAGACAGGAAAGGCTGGTTACAACCAGAAATAAACCACACAATGGAATCTCTGGAAGACAGGAAAGGCTGGTTACAACCAGAAATAAAACACACAATGGATCCTCTGGAAGACAGGAAAGGCTGGTTACAACCAGAAATAAAACACACAATGGATCCTCTGGAAGACAGGAAAGGCTGGTTACAACCAGAAATAAAACACACAATGGATCCTCTGGAAGACAGGAAAGGCTGGTTACAACCAGAAATAAACCACACAATGGAATCTCTGGAAGACAGGAAAGGCTGGTTACAACCAGAAATAAACCACACAATGGAATCTCTGGAAGACAGGAAAGGCTGGTTACAACCAGAAATAAACCACACAATGGAATCTCTGGAAGACAGGAAAGGCTGGTTACAACCAGAAATAAACCACACAATGGAATCTCTGGAAGACAGGAAAGGCTGCCACTGTTATCTAGAGTCATTAATATTTATAAAGATAATTCTACAGCATCCTGTTCGATTCTGTGTTGCATTTAAAACTGCATATTGCTGTCCGACTCTGTGTTGCATTTAAAACTGCATATTGCTGTCCTAGTTTGAGAAAATATGCAGCATTACACTATTATCTTGAAGAACAGAAGATGGAAGACCATTCACCTGGACTGGACAGTAGTCAGAAGTGAAAGCTATGTAAATGACCATCCCACTTCTGACAATATGAACAGAGAGGGGAGAGTTGAGAATAGATATTTTATTCTGCAGAGACATAGGGACTAAACATTTTGGGACTGTTTCCATCTCTAGCTGCTGAAAAGCCAAGGTCAGATTCTTTGTGGCAGGATGAGCTCCCAAACCAATGCCAGGCTGGTCGTAGCTGTGGACTGAAGTGCCCTGAGCAAGGTGATTGGGACAGATCCACTGTTCCACCTCATTCTCTAAAAGGGGAATTATCTTCCGGGAAACCCCAGATGGTAAATGTTGTGTGTTATTCCTCACTAACCCTCTGACAATGACAGTTTCATGTGACTATCTTTTTTTTCATGAAATCTATTCATTTTTAGCACTGTATTTCAAAAGTAAATAGATGATCACTTTAATTTAATACATTTATCTATGATTAATTTGCATTTATAATCAGAGTTTATTTTATTTCTAGATATGTGTATGGTGTCAGTTCAGTGCTGTATATTAAAATACATTCTAGATGGGGGCTTAATTTAATGACCAGAAATGGAAATTGTTGTGAGGGGTAATTTGCTCTGTCTTCTAGCTATTCATTTAGGAAGTGCTCGCTGGACATCTAAATTCCCTTTGAACATTTCTGGGGATATTCAGTCAGCTCACTTTCTTACACAAGCCAGCTGGAGTCTTTATCTGAGTATCCAGGGACACTCCTCTTTGCATCAAAAGACAGCTGTCTCAGTTTCTCACCTGAATCAGGATGGAGGATTTAAACTCACACCCCCATCATAGTGAGTGAAATATAAACCTGTTCCACGACACACGTTACTAGAATTATACAATACAATTAGATAGCTACTGTTACACAATACTATTATTATATAATTATTATTACACAGCATTAATATAATATTCACTCTGGAGCTGCTGTGGTGTAGTGGCTAGATTCTTGCCTGTGGAACCGACAATGGTAGGTTCAGGTTCTAACCAAGCCGGACATTAAAAAAAATAATTACCTGGGCTCCCAGGCTGATCCAGCCTTAAGGGGTACCAGGCCAAGTCCTGGGCTACAAGGCTGATCCAGCCTTGAGGGGTACCAGGCCAAGTCCTGGGCTCCCAGGCTGATCCAGCCTTAAGGGGTACCAGGCTAAGTCCTGGGCTCCCAGGCTGATCCAGCCTTAAGGGGTACCAGGCCAAGTCCTGGGCTACAAGGCTGATCCAGCCTTAAGGGGTACCAGGCCAAGTCCTGGGCTCCCAGGCTGATCCAGCCTTGAGGGGTACCAGGCCAAGTCCTGGGCTCCCAGGCTGATCCAGCCTTAAGGGGTACCAGGCCAAGTCCTGGGCTACAAGGCTGATCCAGCCTTGAGGGGTACCAGGCCAAGTCCTGGGCTACAAGGCTGATCCAGCCTTAAGGGGTACCAGGCCAAGTCCTGGGCTACAAGGCTGATCCAGCCTTAAGGGGTACCGGGCCAAGTCCTGGGCTACAAGGCTGATCCAGCCTTAAGGGGTACCAGGCCAAGTCCTGGGCTACAAGGCTGATCCAGCCTTAAGGGGTACCAGGCCAAGTCCTGGGCTACAAGGCTGATCCAGCCTTAAGGGGTACCAGGCCAAGTCCTGGGCTACAAGGCTGATCCAGCCTTAAGGGGTACCAGGCCAAGTCCTGGGCTACAAGGCTGATCCAGCCTTAAGGGGTACCAGGCCAAGTCCTGGGCTACAAGGCTGATCCAGCCTTAAGGGGTACCAGGCCAAGTCCTGGGCTACAAGGCTGATCCAGCCTTAAGGGGTACCAGGCCAAGTCCTGGGCTACAAGGCTGATCCAGCCTTAAGGGGTACCAGGCCAAGTCCTGGGCTACAAGGCTGATCCAGCCTTAAGGGGTACCAGGCCAAGTCCTGGGCTACAAGGCTGATCCAGCCTTAAGGGGGTACCAGGCCAAGTCCTGGGCTACAAGGCTGATCCAGCCTTAAGGGGTACCAGGCCAAGTCCTGGGCTACAAGGCTGATCCAGCCTTAAGGGGTACCAGGCCAAGTCCTGGGAAGTAAAGGCTGATCCAGCCTTAAGGGGTACCAGGCCAAGTCCTGGGCTACAAGGCTGATCCAGCCTTAAGGGGTACCAGGCCAAGTCCTGGGCTACAAGGCTGATCCAGCCTTAAGGGGTACCAGGCCAAGTCCTGGGCTACAAGGCTGATCCAGCCTTAAGGGGTACCAGGCCAAGTCCTGGGCTACAAGGCTGATCCAGCCTTAAGGGGTACCAGGCCAAGTCCTGGGAAGTAAAGGCCTCCAGCGTGATGTTGACCGCATCACCCACCAAGTGCCGATTGGTCTATAAAATACAGATCTAGCACTGTTTTTTTATATTATCACAATTTAGGTCTTTGCACACTGGGCATCCCCATGCAGGCTGGTCCTCCGATGCAGCAGCCACTCCAAGGTAGCTCTACTGATTGTTCCCATAGGAAGTCGGTTATGGTCTCTCCTGTCTTTACCTCTAAGATGACATAGACGTGCTTCGCCAAGCTTAACTCCTCAGTCACGCAGTCATGTTACCGTCGGAGGTTCGCCATGATCCCCAACCTAGTCAGTACAGAGTTGATGATCCCCAGCCTAGTCTGTACAGAGTTGATGATATCAGCCCTGTCCATGCTTCTTCACATTTGCATTGGTGCATTACTTGCCCACTGGTCAGCTCTTTCATTACCATTTACTCCTACATGCCCAGGTGTGTAGATCCAGAGAATGGAGGTTACCTACGACTTCCAAACGTATTCTACCCATTTGGAGCATAGACTACCTGTAGCGATTTTCTGAAACATGTTCAAAGAGTCTGAAACGATTACTTCATGTATGGCCACCTGTTCTTCTACTTGCGAGTGCTCTGGAAGCAGCAGTTATCTCCATTTTCATGTTTACATAATTGTCTGGTAAGACCTGCTATCCTCTTTTATTTTGGCCCATTCTTTGTGCCCATGCTGATATTTGACCCGCGATTGACGGATCCATTGTGTAAATGACATCTTCTTGGCGTGAATGCTGATCAATCAGTGCCCCAATCTCGGCATCTATGGTGGCAGGTTAGAAAAATCATGCATGACGACTGTTATTTCCATCCATTCTTTTCTGTGACTGATCTCGTCTAGGTCCCATACTCGCCCTCGTCTAGGTCCCATACTCGCCCTCGTCTAGGTCCCATACTCGCCCTCGTCTAGGTCCCATACTCGCCCTCGTCTAGGTCCCATACTCGCCGCATTCGATTTTCTGCCTCAGCTATCCAGTAGCAGCCTCTTCTGAGATGCAATCCTTGTATATGGATAGTGTTGTGCAGTGGTTGGCTGATGTCTGCTGATATACTCATGTAGGCTTTAACCTGTGCAACTTTATGGCTGGCAGCAATTGTCAGTAAACCTAGGACATTCTGCATGGCATGGCACAAGTTGCTTTTGTGCAGCCGAGTTCCATGGCCTCATTTTCTACACAGTCCAGTCTAGCACTATAAGCCCAGTATGCCGGAAGGTGTGGGAAAAGTTCCTTTACTTTATGTAAAAACTGAAACAATATTAAAACTGAAAATACATACTATAGTCCTAAAACTGTATAATAAAGAGTCCCATATTGTATTCAGGCATTTAAAAGATGCTAATGCTTTGCCAATGCATATCATAATTTCATTCTTTATATTTCCACGACTATAAACATTGCTACCTTAATAGATACTCTGTCCTGTTATTTTAATTCCTTTTGTCTCTAGTGTTACATCTGCTTGATGTTGTTGGTGTCTTAAATATGTATATCTATATCCATATATATGTGTATGTGTGTGTGTGTCTTGTTTGTACTTTTACATAACTGTTATCACACAACATGACTATTACACAACAATGTTCTAACATACCTGTGCACTTGACTTTTCCTGTATTTGTTCTCGCTCTGCCTTCATCTCTGAAAGCTCAGCCAACAAACCTGCAATCTGGAACTTGCAACTGTCCATCTGTCTTTTGACAATAGCACACTCGGACTCCTTGGCTGTGAGCCTTTCTTCAAGAGTACTAATTGTATGTGTCAGTGCATGGATTCTCCCCTCCTGCTGAGAAACTGTTGTTCTCAGGTCTGACTCTGTGCATCTCAGTCTGCTTAATTCACTTTCTAAAGATGACAGTTCTGGACAACTGGGCTGGTCTTGGCTGCTGGATTTCTGTATGAGCTCCCCGTGCCGAACTTCAAGGTCTGCCAGTTTCTGTTTGTATTTGATGAGTTCATTCTGTGCTGCAAGTAAGGCTTGGGATTTATCTTCAAACAAGGGAATGAGAGCTGCATAGTCTCTCTGAATACTCTCACTGGTTGCCTGAGTTTCAACTGAAAGGGCCGTCAGTCGCTGAACTTCAGCGTGGTATGCCAGGGATTCTGAATGTTTCTGGGTGACACAGGCTATCAACTGTTCCCTCTCAGACATCAGTGCAGAAATCTGCTGCATCAGAGCTTCTTTATCCCGCAACAGAGGTCCCAGGTGAGCAGCTGCTTCTGATTCTCCGGATTCTTGCAAGACAGCCAGCAGGGTCTCATTCTTCTGCTTCAGAGCCTCTATCTCTGTTTCTCTGTCTCGCACTAGCCTGGCCATGTTTGCCAAGGCCTCACGTCGCATGTCGTCTTCCCCATCATCTCGAGCAGGGGAGTACTTGTGCTGTTCTAGGTTTCTGTTGTCCTCCTGAAGCTTCTCTATAGCTGTCTGTCTGGCAGACAAAACATCCATCAGCCGATGCATCTCACTCTTCAAGGAGGAGTTCTCTCTGGATTTTTCTGTCACCATAGCAACCATTTGCTCTTTCTCACCTCTCAAACTGCGAAGTTCTGATTCCATTTTGTGAACAGTTACTTGGTTAAACAAGCTCTTGTCCAATGAGCTTCCCCCTTTCTCCAGCAATGCCAACAGTGAGCAATTACTTTTCTGCAACTCTGTAACTATGACATCCTTTTCCCTCAAACGATCTCTTAATTCATCCACCTCTTTCTGAAGTCCAGCAAACCTGTCATCATCTTCTGATGCACCATCATCATCCTCAATGTCATCACCACGAATACTACCGTTGACCTCTAAGTGGACAGATTCCTGTACATTTGATGACTGCTGCTTTTGTTGATTCTGAAATTGAGACGAATGTTCCATAAAGCGTTCACCAATGAATTCAATAGCTGGAATTTCCTTGTATTCAAGTGCAGGTATCACTGAACTGACTTCTGCATAATTGTTCACAGATTCTTTCTGCTGATCAGTTAACACTGTCATCAGAAAACTCAATCTCATCCCAAGCTCACTCATTGTCTCTTCCTTGTCCACTACAGTCTGCCGTAAGACTGCAATAGTTGTCTCTTGAAGAGAGAGGTTAGCTTCTGCCTCCTGCAGCTGATGTCTCTGCACATCAATCTTATCATTCAAATCTGCAATCCCGGCTGACTGGCACCTGATAGTTTCATGAGCTTCAGTCAGTTGCTGCTGCAAGTCAGCCAGTTTGCAGTTGCATGCTGTCAGTTCTGCTTCCAGCTGCTGCACAGTCTGATACCAGTGATGGTCTTCTGGCACATTTGTCATCCCTCTTTCTGGATCATGTTTGAATTCATCAACATCATCTACCCCATAAGCAGTGTTTCCATCAACATACACATCTTTAGGAAATGTTTTTGCATTTTTCTGTACCAAGAGTAGACTTTTTTCAAGATAAGCATTTCTAGTACGAAGTGTCCACAATTCTTTATCAGCTACAGCCGGCTGTGGGCTGTTCTCTTGTACAATAGACTGCTGTTGGCTGTTCTCCTCTACAACAGTAGCATGTTTAGTGGTAGAAATATCAACAAAAAATCCAGTTTCACCTTCTCTTGTGTCATGCTCTTCCCTGATAAATCCTGCTTTATTTAACCGTTCCTGTCCTTCAGCCAGCAGACCTACCTCTTGCTTGTTAACCCCTTCTCTGTTACTGTCTGCTATCTCTTTGAATCCTCTACCACATTCTTGTTCTTCAGACTTTCTCTGCTGACTCTCAGTTTCTCTGATCAGACCAGATTGCTCATTCTCAGACTGAGCTAACCTGTTCTGCAGATTGTCGTTTTGCTCATTCAGCTCTTTAAGTTTGCCACTGCTGTCATCAATCTGGATTTTCAGTGACTCAACTTTTGCAACCTCCCGCTGTAATTGTCTCTCTAATTCACATTTCTCCTCATATATGGAATTCATTTCTGTTTTTGATGTCTCCAGTTCTTGTTCTAACTGTGTGATCTTAGTTGCCGAGACCTCTTGGCAACTGCGTAGCTCCTTGATTTCTCGTTTCAAAGACTGCTTACTATCATATAGTTTCTGTACCTCTGCTTTCAGGTCTTGAATGACACTTCCATCTTCTTCAATCTTTCTTCTTACTCGTGCCTCCTCTTCCAGAATGCTTCTGAAAGCATGATCTTCGAAAGAAAAATCTGAACAAGACTGCTCTGAAGATAACCTATTGAACTGTGCACTAAACAGCCTCTTCTCTGTCTCTAGTTCTGCTACCTGTGATTTCCATTTCTCTAACTCTTCGTGCTCTTTCCAGGCATTCATCTGCTGTATCTGCTTGTCTTCATTCATCTGCTGCCATTTTTCTACTTCCTCTTCCATCTCCGACAGTCTGTCTTCCATTTCTAAAATCTTTTCTTCAAGATTTTTCTTTTCCTTCTCAAGAATGATTTGCACTTCTCTCATTTCTTTTATTTTGGCCACCTTGGCAGCTGTTTCTTCCTTGGCAGTTTTCAGCTCTTCCTGAAGCTCTTGCTTGTCCATATGCAAGTCATTAATCACCAGACCTCCCTTATGAAGTTTGTCTCTCAAGTCTACAATCTCTTGTTCCAGTGTTTTACTAGATCCTTTCTGCCTTAGCTCGGCTTCTGCGAGCTGAGTCTCCAGCTGCCGACACTTCTCTACCATATTCAGCTCCTGCTGGTAGGCAGGCTCTGCACCCTGTTGTCCATCTGACTGACCAGCCTGGCTGGAAATTCTAAGTTCTGTGATTAAGTTATTTAATTGTTCAATCTCCTCTTGCTGTTGCTGAATATAAGCACTACGCTCTGCCAACTGTGCCATTAAATGATCTCGTTGTTGAATCAACTGCTCTTGGGCTTGGCAGTGTTGTGTGTCCAGTTCTTCCAGGGCATTCTCCAGTTCAATCTTCTCCTCCCTTAAGGATGTGATTTCCGCTTCAAGGACCTGCAGCTTTCTACACGGATCTTCATCTAGAGAAAATTATAAAGCAACATATTTTAAACAATGCACTTTATTTGAAGTGCAGAGGTAAAACAGTCACAGTCAACAATAGAAACACGCAGATGTGAAAACTAATAACTATAAATAGGAAAATCTATCTTTTTAGTCATCTGGTGCCTGTGGGGATGCCACAGCAGACAGGCTTGCCTATCTGTTCACTGATTGTAGGTTTTTAACCTCTGAATTTTTTTTCATAATTATGAAGTTATGTCATGGATCATTTCACAATTATTAATGACAACATATGAACTCGAGGAGTCATGGATCACCAACAACAACATATGAACTTGAGGAGTCATGGACTATTTTACATCACCAACGACAACATATGAACTTGGGGAGTCATGGATAATTTTACATCACCAATGACAACATATGAACTTAAGGAGTCATGGATAATTTTACATCACCAATGACAACATATGAACTTGAGGAGTCATGGATAATTTTACATCACCAATGACAACATATGAACTTGAGGAGTCATGGACAATTTTACATCACCAATGACAACATATGAACTTAAGGAGTCATGGACAATTTTACATCACCAATGACAACATATGAACTTGAGGAGTCATGGACTATTTTACATCACCAACGACAACATATGAACTTGAGGAGTCATGGATAATTTTACATCACCAATGACAACATTTGAAATTGAGGAGTCATGGACAATTTTACATCACCAATGACAACATTTGAAATTGAGGAGTCATGGACAATTTTAAAATAATTATGACAATATTTGAAGTTGAGTCATGGACTATTTCACAAATATTAACGACAATATATGAACTTGAGGAGTCATGGACTATTATACAGTTTTTTATGACAACATAAGAATAGGAGTCATAGACCATTTCACAATCATTACTGAAATGTTTCAAAACAATTCTCTAATCACTAAGCCATATAGTCCCAGTCTTCTAGTTGAGTGATCCCCCAATTCTCTATCACTAAGCCATATAGTCCCAGTCTTCTAGTTGAGTGATCCCCCCATTCTCTAATCACTAAGCCATATAGTCCCAGTCTTCAAGTTGAGTGATCCCCCAATTCTCTATCACTAAGCCATATAGTCCCAGTCTTCAAGTTGAGTGATCCCCCAATTCTCTATCACTAAGCCATATAGTCCCAGTCTTCAAGTTGAGTGATCCCCCAATTCTCTGTGACTCACCACCGTTAATATCACTGGCAAGATGCATGGTCTCAAGCAGTTTACTTCAACTTTTATGCTGTTTTGTGGCACAAACTTCATACTCACTGACCCCAATTCTCTGTGACTCACCACCGTTGATATCACTGGCAAGATGTATGGTCTCAAGCAGTTTACTTCAACTCTTATGCTGTTTTGTGGCACAAACTTCATACTCAGTGACCCCAAGAAACTTAAATACTGGTTTTGTTAATTGTTACAAATCTCCCAGAATCCCCTATTGTTGTTTTGTTAATTGTAAAAAATCTGTAATAATTATAGAACCAATATATCCCAGTCACATCTTCAATCCAACTTGTCTGCAAGAAGGAGCTTGAGAAGAGAGAAATGGCCATTCGTATCTCCAAAACTAAAACCATGGTTATCTAAAGAGGAGAAAAAAACTCAGATCATAATAGGACAGTATGCATTGGAGCAGGTCAACCAGTTCATATACCTTGGAGTTGTAACAGACTGAAAAGGAGGCATTATGACAGAGCTGGCTACTCAGAAAGCATCAGTGGGACTTTTCCAGGCCATAAACTGGTGGTTTCTTAGCAAAAGAGAATTTGGTAAGAGGATGAAAATGGCTGTTTATAGCTCTATCTATGTGCCAGTCCTGACCTATGGGTCTGTGTCATGGGCAATGACAACAGCTCACAGAAACCAACTTCAGGTGTCAGAAAAAAGAAATCTGAAAAAGGTGGTCCAGGTGACAAGAAGGGACAAAGTTCGCAATCAGACAATATGTCAAGATCTTGAAACATCTGACATCACGCTCTTGACTTCCGAACATTTTTTTTCCCCAACTTAATTTGTGTCTATAGATTTTAAGTTATAGAGGAAAACATTGCTCCTGGGTTGTAAACTTAATCTAGGTTGACCAGAACAAAGCTATTTAATTTCCCTGGACTGCAGTTGATATCAAACACTCAGACTCTCGCCCAGAGGTAAAGTGTTAAGTATACAGATAAGACTGAGCAGGTAGACTTAGTGGCAACAGTGAAGTGGAAAGCTCAGACATAGTGGCTGGAGGTTTTGCTTGTAGAACTGAGATGTCAGAAAATATCTCCTGCTGACAGAAAAGTCTGGCAATCTCTCTGGAAAACCTCTTCATCCCAAGGTAGAAGAGGAGTGACTAGGTAAGTAGTAAGATATCCCAGTCTAGTGACCTTAACCTTTTCTCCATCACTGACTGTCAATTTTGGTTGACAAGGAGTTTTGTCTGCAGACCTTTTTCAGTTAAGAAAAATATGCTGATCTTCACAATGTAGACAATTTTGATAAATAAAGCAAGACACATTAAACTAACCAGGTTGTGCTGTCTGAAACTCACCCACAGGATGCTCACTGCTCTGGCTGGTCACAGACTGAAACAGATCCAGAAATTGCACACACATTTGACTTCAAGAAAGGTGTGCAGGCAGTGCCTTCATGAAAGCATGGACATTGAGACTATCAAATATGAGTTCTTGTACTTGATCGGGGCACCCTGGTGTCGTAGCTAGATGCTCGTTTGCCGATCGAAAGGTCGTGGCTAAAGGTGCTGACAGAGCCAGACTTTTGTTAAATATGACCATGGCCGGGTGGACCCAGCCTTAAAACTTTTCCAGGTACAGTCCTGGGAAGTAAAGGAGGCTGGCACGATGCATATTACCAATAGAGTGCTGGCTGGTCTATAAAATATAGGTCTAGCCCTATATGCCCAATACATTTAAAGGTGCAGAAAAGGGTCCTTTACTTTACTAATACCTGGGTTTTTTTTAATGTATTTCTTTTCTTAACCTTTTTGCCCCTGGTGGCCTAAAACATTAATGCCAAAGACCTGTCAGTTTTGGAATTTTGGGGAATTCCCCATAAAATATTTATTTTAAAATACAACCATTTTAGACAGTTCGCGTTAAAATTTTTAGAACTTTCTGAACCGTTTACATTTCTTTAGATGTGATACAATTTTTATATTTTTTTCTATAACAAAGCAAATGCTAAGGGAAAAGGTCTAGAACTGTACATTTGAGTCTGTCGTTGAAAAATCTCAGCCAGATAGTGACAATAGTCTTGATATTGTAATTAATAATACATGTGCTGAAGTTACTGCCGCTAATTTAGGTTAGAATGAAGATTGAACAAAATATTTCAATCCGATCTTCTGTTGCGATCAAATGTTTTCCCAATTTTGGGTTGTAAAATCTGACGTCAAACAAAATGATCTTAACATCCAAAGTATTTTAATTAGTTGTTTCAAATAAAAACTAGCTGATACAGATCTTAACAGAGAAGGCATGTGAATTCTTAAAAATGGATAGCAATGTTGCTGAACAAGTAAAAAGTAAGTAAGCACAACATTTGTTTTGTAAATAATCTTCACATGTGTCTAACATCCTTGAATGTTGTGTGATTGTAATAATATTGTTGTGTAATACTGACACTTAAGTAGTTAAGATTTATTCTGCACTCATTTCTCTTTAATTTCATATATTATATGCCACTATACAACCAATACGTTTTCCTCAGAAAGGTTTTAGCTTTGTCATGTAGTAAAAAAAAAATAATTCCGCTCACAATTAATGCTGTCCAAACCCTAGAAAGGTCTTAGCTTTGTCATGTAGTAAAAAAAAAATAATTCCGCTCACAATTAATGCTGTCCAAACCCTAGAAAGGTCTTAGCTTTGTCATGTTGTAGTAAAAAAAAATAATTCCGCTCACAATTAATGCTGTCCAAACCCTAGAAAGGTCTTAGCTTTGTCATGTAGTAAAAAAAAAATAATTCCGCTCACAATTAATGCTGTCCAAACCCTAGAAAGGTCTTAGCTTTGTCATGTTGTAGTAAAAAAAATAATTCCGCTCACAATTAATGCTGTCCAAACCCTAGAAAGGTCTTAGCTTTGTCATGTTGTAGTAAACAAAAATAATTCCGCTCACAATTAATGCTGTCCAAACCCTAGAAAGGTCTTAGCTTTGTCATGTTGTAGTAAACAAAAATAATTCCGCTCACAATTAATGCTGTCCAAAATCCAGAAAGGTCTTAGCTTTGTCATGTTGTAGTAAACAAAAATAATTCCGCTCACAATTAATGCTGTCCAAACCCTAGAAAGGTCTTAGCTTTGTCATGTTGTAGTTAAAAAAAAAATAATTCCGCTTACAATTAATGCTGTCCAAGCCCTAGAAAAAAATGTTGTCCAAAAGAGTTTGGAAGAAGAAAAATTCAAACCTTCAATATTGTCAAATAAGCCAGAGCTGACTCAGTGACAGAATTGTAACATACCTTTGTACTTCACTGTATGCATACAAATCAGGTTCAGGTGGCACAGCCCCTTAACATGGTCCTCTCACAAGGTCCAGCCTGATAAAAAAGTCTTCTAAACAATGTTCAGTCAGGAGGATGTGGGGAGCTAAAGAACTGCGCCCCCACCCTGCAACCCCTTGGTACTGATTGTGGGCTGGAATATTTGTTCAGAGCTAACAACTCACAGCTTAGTGACAGTGTCTGCTGTGGAACTTTCTGTTACATCTGTCTACAGTAGATGTAATGCAGTCTGGTGTATAATGTCACTCAACTGAATGGCACATGTGCACCAGTATACAACAAAAGCAGATGAGAAGTCATCTTCTATATGAAGCTAATTGTGCTAGTCTCAGTCTTAGTCAAGGTTTCAACTTCACCGCAATCAGGTTTCCCCAGACTTGCTCTGTTTCTATGCCAGTGCCTATCAAATGAAATGTCACTCACTGTCGCATTTGAAAAACTGGTGAACAAATAATCAGTCCCAGAACAATCTAGAAATATGTGCAAGCAGTAAATGAATATTTCAACTGCTAGAACATTCTGGTACAATAATAGAAGAGAAGTGGAACTACAACTGGAATTGGGTTATGTCTTACTTTCAGTCAAGTAAAAGTCTCTTTCCCATGCCTTTAGGTGTATAGGGCATATAGGGCTAGACCTATATTTTTATAGACCTTACCTTCAGTGATCTGATTTCCTCTTCCTGTCCCTGGGAGTGTTTTCTCAGATCAGTAATCACATCTTCCAAAGCCTCCCGTTCAAGCAGCCAGTCAACTCTCTCCATTTCCACAGCAGATGACTCTCCCATCTGACTTGCCAGCTGGGCTCTCAGAAGTTCCAGTTCTCTATCTATATCTTCTCTTTGAATACATACAGCAGCATTTTTATGGTCTGAGGTGCTGAAAGTGACAAAAACATTTTTTTTTTTTACAAGCAGTTGTAAGTAAATAAAGTAAAGATCCCTTCTCATGCTTTGGGCGCATCGGGCATATGGGAAAAGCACACATATTTTTACAGACCAATCGCACTAGGTGGGTAACTGGGTCAGCATTACGCCGGCCGTCTTTACAGTCAAATATTCACACACTCTGTAAGTAGGATGTCTGTCTGATGGTCTTATGTTCACATACTCTGTGAGAAGGATGTCTGTCTGTCAGATAGTCACATTCCACAATCTCAGTGGCTATCATATCTGTCTGTCTGGTGATAATTTCAATAACAAATGTTGAAGTTTAAAGGGTTCCATAAGAAATCAATAACAAATATTAAAGTATAACGAGTTCCACTGAGTTTCAATAACAAATATTGAAGTATAAAGAGTTCCACTGAGTTTCAATAACAAACGTTGACGTATAAAGAATTCCACTAAGTTTCATTAACAAATTTTGAAGTATAAAGAGTTACACTAAGTTTCAATAACAAATATTGAAGTATAAAGAGTTCCACTGAGTTTCAATAAGAAATATTGAAGTATAAAGAGTTCCACTGAGTTTCAATAACAAATTTTGAAGTATAAAGAGTTCCACTAAGTTTCAATAACAAATATTGAAGTATAAAGAGTTCCACTGAGTTTCAATAAGAAATATTGAAGTATAAAGAGTTCCACTGAGTTTCAATAACAAATGTTGATATATATTAGGTTATGTTGGGTTTCAATAACAAAATTTGAAGTATAAAGGGTTCCGTAAAATTTCAATGATAAATTTTAAGGTATAAATGGTTCCATATGGTTTCAATAACAAATGTTTAAGTACAAAGGGTTCCATAGGGCTTAAATAACAAATGCTGAAGTATAATTGGCTCTATTGGGCTTCTTTCAATAAAAAGAAGCATTTTTTGTAAAAACAGTGGAAATAATGGTTCCAAATGACCTGATTAAAAGTCAGCCTGTTTTTCCTTCAGTGTTGAATATCTACGATTCCCCCCTCCCCCCCCCCCCCCCCCATCACCCTCTTTTCTGAATTAGTCTGTAAATGTATAGATACTCTGCTCTACTGCACTAACCACAAGATCCAAAAGAGCCTTTCCCCCACTTCCCTTTTATCATAATGTTGCTCACCACCCAGAGGAGTGGTGTTGTGTGCTAAACTGACTTTGCTGTTCAACTATCCCGGGCCCCAGAGGTGTGATCGCCTATGCTGGTTGTGGAAGTGCCCAGATGATGGTAGAGGCAAGTAAAAAGTCCACATAGGTCAATTGTGAAGAACCCGGAGGGTTTGTGAGAATGTGAGATCTGCGTGGAAGCACGGATGGGAAGAGTCCCGGGGTAGTTGAATTAGTCATTGCCCCTAAGTTTGTGATAGAGTTAGGATGTGTGTGACTTTTAAGTGTAATCATGTGTATTATTTTATTCTGGAGAAAGCTTAGATTGTAAGTTAGAATTTGATGCATATTTCGGAATGCTCAAGTTGAGTGTATTTAATGGAGACAAGGCACTGAGAGCCCAACATCTCTTTATGATGTTATGTGTTCCTGATCGCATTGGAGGCTGAAAGCGACTGTGGGTTGGGAGGCGTAGTGTTGTGGACACGTCAAGTGTCAGTCTTTGAGATGATACCGAAGTATATCAATGTGTATCAGGGAGCTTTAGACAGACAGTAGTTCGGCAATCACCAATTCATTTTCATCGTCATACTGTGTTTCATCCCAATATATAGACTGATGCACGATTACAGAGATGACTATTCCCATATTTTTGATGTGGTTGGCTGCTGACTGATATCGGTGTTAGTTGTACGCTGTGACTATGTGAACTGTGTTAGTAAAGCACTCTCCTGGACTGAAAATCTGCTCCTGACCAGAGTCTTATTAAGTGAAGCAAGCCACTCTATGTAAAGGATGCAAATTTCTATTTTCTGAAGCATGCTTTATGAGCATTACAATGACCACGTGTTGGGCTGTGCTGCTGCCAAACCGTCACAAAGATGATGTCACTGCCTCCACCTCCATTCTCATACTGAATATTCTAGTATTATCCATGAGGCTGCCTGTTTTCAAACAGTGTCCATTACCTTTTGCACACACACAACCACCCACTCTTTTTACCTCTCACTACAATGATGTCTGACTGTGTGTACAATGTTC